CTGGTTAGACCCATTTCATTGTCACTTCCTGCAACTTCATTTGTGTCAAAGGTCACGTGACATCACTTCCTGATGTGATACCACTTCCATGAGGTCTTTGAATGTAGCTCACGGGCCCACTAGATGATAAAAAGTTCATGATCTGGCCCCACATTCAAAAAGGTTGGACACCTCTGTTCTAGACTGAAGTCTCGTTGGGTAGAGTGGTTTTCTTTAATCTTTACTAATCTATAGAGGATCCCCTGGGAGCCCCATAAGGTTTGGCCCCTAATATAGTCCATGGCCTGTTGTGACCTATTTATAAAATTTCTAAAAAGGTTACATGACTATATTGTCTCAAATAGTATATATTTACAAGTTATAATCCCTATTCCATGATATCTTTGAGCTTTAACATATCTTAAATTAAAACTATCTTTAAATAAATTTATTTTTAAAGCATCTTAACAAAAAAAATCAAAACATACAATTAAATACAATTATTTAAATCTGATTTAAATAAAAAAATCAAATTTTTTTACTGTAAAAAAAAGTTTGATTTTTATCTATCCCGCTCCCTAGAGAATTTCCTAGCTGAAGCATCCCCAATATATTGCATATTTTCATAGTTAGGGGCTGGGAGGGACCTTACAGATCATCAGGTCCAACCCCCTGCACTTGGGCAGGAAAGACTGCTGAGATCAGATGACCCCAGGAAGACAGGCATCAAGATGCTTTTTGAAGATCACCAGGGTGGGTGACTGTACCACCTCTGGGGGGAACCTGTCGCAAACCCTTGGCACTTGACTTATAAACAAGTTTTTCCTTACATCTAGCCTGAAGCGATCCTCAATCAGCTTGTGCCCATTATTTCTTGTCCTCCCCTGGTGAGCCTTGGTAAACAGATGCTCTCCCAGCCGCTTAGCAATTATTTCACCAAGTCATGGAGGAGAGGTAATGTTCCACAGGATCAGAGAAGGACTAACATAATACCAATCTTTAAAAATGAAAAAAAATAAGGACACAGGGAATTATAGGTCAATCAGCCAATCTTGGTACCTGGAAGGATACTAGGACAAATTATTAAGCAAATTATAAACTTCTATAAGAACACTAAAATAATAAAAGCCATTATGGATTTATGAAGATCAAATTATGCTAAACTAATCTAATTTATTTTTTGACAAGGTGGCTAGCTAAGTGTTAGAAGAGAAAGCAGTAGATATGATGCATCTTGACTTTATTAAAAATGTTGAGAAGTCACAGAACTTCTGGCTAAGTACAGACATTCAGGAGGTTAAATCAGGTTCAAAATAGCCACCAAATTAAAACTTAGCTCATCCTAGTGCCAACCTTACACTTTCACACCCAGTCTCAGTGACCAGCAATTAGTCCAAACCTGTAACAGAAGTTCAGTGCACACAAACCAGTTTAAAAATTGCAAAACCCAGTTTCAGATAAACCTGGAGCTATGTACTATCGGACTCATTTGATCTAGGTCAAACCTGTGCATGGAACTTCTGTCCACTTCCCCTACACAGCCCTGGGGCTGGGTAAGCCCAACCACCGGTTCCAGCCCTGAGGCTGTTCTTTTCACTCTCCCTTTGCCTCTTGCTCCACCCCAGCCACTGCTCTCAACCTTCATCCCACAAGCCGTTCTGGGTGCAGCTGGTTTTATCAGCGTTCGCGGCTGCTGGAGCTAAGCAAGTAAGTCCTGGTGGGGGGAGGCATCAGATGGATGGGGGTGTAATTTCACTGGAGGGGACTCCCCCCCCTACCCCACCCACCTATAGGTGACACCTACCCCCCCAATGCTTGCGGCAGGCTGCCTGCCCTTCCTTCCACTCCACTCACGGGTTGCACCTACCTCCCCCCAAGCCTCCTACAGGCCCCTGATCCCCTACAGCCTGCTGGACCCCCAATCCCCTAGCTAGCCCCCCACCATCCTGACTTGCCTGCTATGTGGCAGCCATTTTGAATTGATTTAACCTCTCCCTAATGCCCCCAAATGTCTGTACTTAGCCTCTGAGTTCAGAAGTGCTGAAAAACTGCAGTCAAGAGAAGGAGCAAGGGTAGTCATAGATTTCATAGATTTCATAGACATTAGGGCTGGAAGTGACCTCGGAAGATCATCGAGTCCAGCCCTCTGTCCGAAGGGCAGGAAGTCAGCTGGGGGCATAGGATCTCAGCAAGATAAGCATCCAATTTACTCTTCAAGGTGTTCAATGTAGGTGCTTGAACCACCTCCGGTGGCAGGCTGTTCCAGACCTTGGGGGCTCAGACAGTAAAGAAATTCTTCCTTATGTCCAGCCTGAAACGGTCTTGCAGGAGTTTATAACCATTCGACCTCGTCATCCCTTGGGGTGCTCTGGTGAACAAACATTCCCCCAGATACTGGTGGTCACCCCTGATAAACTTATAGGTGGCCATCAGATCACGCCGGAGCCTGCGCTTTTCCAGGCTAAAGAGCCCCATGGCTCTCAGCCTGTCGTCGTAAGGTCTGTTTTCCTGACTTCTGATCATGCGCGTGGCTCTTCTCTGGACTCTCTCAAGCTTCTCCACATCCTTTTTGAATTGTGGAGCCCAAAACTGGATGCAGTACTCCAGCTGCAGCCTCACCAAGGCCGAGTACAAGGGGAGAATGACATCCTGGGATTTGCTTGAGAAGCACCTATGGATGCAAGCCAGCATTTTGGTTGCTTTATTAGCCACAGCATCGCATTGCAGACTCATGTTCATCTTGCAGTCAATGATGACCCCAAAGTCTCTTTCTTCCATAGTGCTAGCCAGTGTAGCACTGCTGAGCCTATAAGGATGCTGCAGGTTTTTCCTCCCAAGGTGGAGAATCTTGCGTTTTTCAGTGTTAAACACCATCAGGTTCTCATCCGTCCATTTGCTGAGCTTGTGCAGGTCAGCCTGGATCTCCCCCTGTCTTCTGGTGTGGATGCTTTACCCCAAAGTTTGGTGTCATCGGCGAACTTGGCCAGTCCACTTCTGACTCCAATGTCCACATCATTAATGAAGATGTTGAACAATATGGGTCCAAGGACAGAGCCTTGGGGGACCCCACTGGTCACAGGGCACCATGATGATTGATTTCCGTCAATTACTACCCTCTGGGTCCAACCATGGAACCAATTTCCCAGCCAGCAGATTGTGGTGGACCCAAGGCCACAAGTGGCCAGTTTCGCCAAAAGGTGATCATGGGATACCAGATCAAAGGCTTTTTTTTTCACATTGGACCCACAGAGATAAATGCACTATCCATCCATCTTACCATCCCCATTCAAAAAGTTTACCAAATTACTAGCTTTTATATTACCTGAAATGTTGCAATGGAGCTATGGATTCATCCTAATACAAAACTGACATAGGATCCAGCTATGAAAGGATGAACTCTCTCTCCTAACTGGCCAGTGTTGCATTTATTGACATCATCTTGAAAAGTAAGCTTGAAAGATGCTAGACAAATAGACTATAACTCCAGTTCACAGGATGAAGTATTTGATGGCCCACTCTTTTTCTATATAATTTTTCTTAGTATCAAATGAAACACAGCATCCATTACTGATGGTAACATTTTGTACTTTTTGACAAGCTTTAATACATTGTCCTTTCATATAACTATGCATTGAA